TCGAATTCTGTTGTGACAAAGAAGGGTGCGAAGCTGCTGAAGGGGCTTCCCAGTTTGAAGCACGTCAGAGCAGGCAGTGCGAGCTTGCAGCTGCTGCGGTCAGCTCTTCCTGCAGTGGTAGTGAGCAAGGATCTTCTGCCAGGTGCTATTTCTGGTGATGCGAATTTAGTCGACTCAAAAAGTGAGCCAGGATCTTCTACCCGGCACTATTTGTGGTGATGTGGATTGCAGCTCACTGCCAGCCATAGTAGTGCAGTGCTGCCAGTGTGTGTAGGTATGTATATGCGGTACATCTGCTAGTGTCATGTAGGTAGTGCGAGGGTGCGGTGGCTTTTGAGGCGGTGGCTTTTGGAGCTTAGATCACATTCAAATGCCAAGTTTGTGTTGATGGATGCAAATATCTCTTGAGCCTCCTCCACGGGTGACTGCTGTTAAGGTGTCAAGGGAAGACCTATGCTGGTTTTTGTACATGTAGTGTTAACACTGGCTAGGGATGGGATGAGAGCCAACATATATGTGTCCAACTTTGTTCATATTTTGGATAGGTTGTCGAGAGTTTTGGTGTACCCCCTGGGGTAATAGATTGATGAATATATAAATTTTGGGCTGTCATAAATTGAAGGAGGAACGGAATGCAATCTTCTGATTGATTATGCTAGAAATCTGCAATGCTTCCTGAATACTGGTATGTAACTTCCTACTAAAGTAGGAATGAAAGAGAGTAACCTCACCATTTGTGAGAGATCAACAGTAATTGTGACTGGAATTTATATCGAGCCTGCTGTTAATGAGAAGGGCATATTATCTGAATAACAGCCATGAGGAACTTGTCTTGTCGTTTCTGAAGATTTTGAATTTATGGCGGTGCGGAAGTAACTCGGCTGTATATTTATTTTGCATCCTTCATTACGATGACATGAAATACCCCTGATGTGAGTGAGGATCTTTGGTTATACCCCAGGGCGTCCACTGGTAGTAATTCAGCTAAAAGCAGAGGCACTTGGTGGTCGAAACCACCACTACGTTTTATGTTCTGGGACGGAACTCGAAGAAATTGTTTGTTAAAGCACCACCATACATGAAAGGCGACGTTTCTTCGAAGTGAAAAAAATTTCGCTGCTGCTCGGCCGTATATATCGTTGCTCACTGGTGCATGTTCCAGAATCACACTGGACTTCCTTCCTTCATCATCCTTTACAGAACAATGATTCCACCAGCAAGGGGGGAAAGCCAGTCATTGGCGCAGTTTCTTTGTTGCAGATTTTTGCCAGACTGAATGGAGGGCTTGAAAACCACCCTCATCCAGTTCGATTCGAAATGTGGGGTCCGCTTCGTCTGCTTGCCCTTGCCACACCAGCACTTCCCCTCAACTCTGCTAGTGCAGGTCCCCTGCCGCAAAAACCCAACCACAAGAATTTTCTGCGTGCTCTCCTCCTCCAAACCTAGCACCTGCGCACAAACCCTTACAACCAGCTGGTCCCGGTTTGGGTTCACAATCCATCCAGTGTGGATATTTGATGATTCCCAGTGCTGATTCGGCAGGCATGGCAGCCCTTCTGTAGAGTTTTCAGTCAACTGGGGGCCGCTCGTTTGTTATTGCTCAACGCTTATATTGGAAGGCCAAAAAGTCGGCGACGAGGGAAACTGTTCCGCTGCCCAACTTTCGGGCGTGCGATGGTACCCAAAGTCTCTTCGATGGTCGAATCTACGTCACCAGGCTCAGCGGGATCCAAACCACTATGGTCTGGCAACTCGAACCTGAGCCGCGAAGTTACAGTGCGATACAGTATCCCACCATTCACGCGAGCCTCGAGAACCGATCGGTAGGAGCAGCTACACTTGGTGCTCGATTCAGTCCCCTTTTCCATCTTTCGAGTTGGTCTTCTCTCGCGCACGAGGCATCCAAGGGCAAATTGGGACTGTAAGTAGTATGAAGGTTACCACCAGAAGAACAGTGCCATCGCATGGGTAGCGGACTGTGTTTTACATGTGAAACTGTGGTAACTTTTGCTGTGTCACTGAAATTTCGCCTGGTTGAGAACCGTACGCCCGTGGGGTTGAGTTTGTATCTAGTTTGTCTACAAAAGCACAATTTCGAACACAAAACAATCTCCCGTAGCCACGTAGACAAAAACACCCTTCCCAACCTATGCCCCACTACGACCTTATTGAAACCCACCAACTCCTATGTCCCACTATGACCTCAATGAAACCAATCAACTCCAAACATAGAGCGCCCCCATGCAAAACCAAGCAAATCACAGTGAACGCTACCATGCAGCAAGAAGTAAATTACAGAGAGCGCACCCATGCACCCTCTCCTTCATAACCATCCGTAGGAACTGCACTGAGCCTTCCTAGCTTGGTGATGCTCGGCGGCAGCCTACGGAAATGTGCGCTCTGCGCCGGCTCGTTCAAATCAAGTCGCGGGCTCGCCCTTTCAAGGCGCTCGATAACGTCACGGTTGCGGATGTAAAAAAAAATCCGCACTTCCCGAGGCGCAATCCCGGCAGCCCGTGCGTAGCCTATCAAAATTTCAGTTGCAGCGCGTGCAATGCGCCGTGATGCACGCTCCTCGTTGGCGTTGTCGCCAACGTCGGCGTGAGGCGGTGCAGCCACCCACGAGGCACGGACCGGGGGTTCAGGTGGCTCGGACGCAAGAGGGTCTTGGCCCGGCATATCGCACGTAGGCTGCGCGTCGTCGAACGCAACGTACTGTGCAGCCGGCATGGCGGCAGGTCCAAGACGGAGGCCTCGAATAAGGTCACCCACCCCACCAATCTCCTCTTCAAGCGACTGCTCCACGTCGTCCTCCTCGTCTTCCTCGCGATGCATCTCCAGGTGCTCCAAACTCATGGCCCATGCCAATGGGAGGCATCCAGTCCGCCACCAGCAGCGCTGAATGGTGCGCGGCGTCACACTCACCCATGAGGCGCTCAACATCTGGAGGGCTGTCGTCATTTTGGGAATGGAACGGCTGCGTCCGTCGGGGCAGTTGGCGTCTTTCCAAATCGCCACAAAATCGCGGATCAAGGCAGCACGGTAACGAGTCTTCACTGTTGAGATTATGCCCTGGTCAAGTGGCTGTGTGAAGCAAGTCGTATTGGGTGGGAGGTACACGACGCGCAGATTGCTCAAACGTCTCGTGCGAAATCCGAATAAATCTTCCGAGATCGCGGTCTCGCCGAAGAGAGCATGGCTGCTTGCGTTGTCAACCAACACCACGATTTTCCGACGCTCCGCGTACATGGCGGCGTTGACCGTCTCCATGAAATGAGTGAAGAGCTGATGGATGGGTAGGGGAGGGTATGGGAGGGATAGGCATTAGGGGCCATGGCATATGCATCGCGAAATTGGGAAGTGCGGAAAGTAACCCTGAATACACTCTTGCACAACTTACCCGATAGTACACCCCCGGCACTTTTGAGTCAAGGTTTTAGAACTGCGTGGCGACAGTCACTGGCGTAGTAACTTCCGAGTCACTTGACGGTACGCGTGAACTTCGTTTACGGTCCGATGTTATAAGTTGACACAATGGACGCACCGCGGTCACCATAACGCGGGAATTTCATCGGGAAATTTGTGCACACGTTCGCGACTCGGGGTGTAGGTGTGCGCTACGGGAATTCGATAGCTTTGCGACAAGGAAACTGTAATGTCAGTTTTTTGTGTCTGATGTACGCGCGCGTTTCCGGTGTTCAGAATGTTGCGATTTGCGTGCGTTGTTTTACCGCAGCTTTCCGCAACATTCACGCAAGGCAGAGGCAGAAAAACCTTCGGGGCCAAAAAACGCAGTTTTCCTTTTTCGCGATGTCGTGGCGCGCCCCCCGCTGCAATTCACGTGCGAGGTGGACGTTACCCAGAGTTGGAGAGAGAACTTCATCGCTGGATTATCCGTGCTGGACCGGCCAGTATTCCACTGACATTGGAGATTATCCGAGCTCATGCACGCCAATTGGCGCGTGAAAGCGGAACCGCCCCAGATTTCAAGTGTTCCATCGGTTGGGTGAGGCGTGTTCTTGCCCGCCTCGGCATTCGATGTCTGTCTACCAAGGGTGAAGCTGCCGACCAGGACTTGAACGCTGTCATGCAATGCAAGGGGAAGCTTCCCCAACTCCTTCTAAGCCTTGCGCTTTCACCTCGAGACGTACTCAATCTGGATGAGACTGCCTTGTTCATTGGTTTCCTACCGAGGCGCACGTACAGTGCGAAGAATCTTGCGGGTGGCAAAATTCCGAAGGCGCGCATCACCGTGGCATTCCTGTGTAACGCCGACGGGAGCTCGAAGTTCCGGCCTCTGGTCATTCACAAGTACGCCAGGCTGCACGACTTCCGTCCCAATTTCGACCCGGAGAGGTTGTGCTATTGGAGGCACAATGCGAGGGGGTGGATGACGAGTTCTGTAAGTGCCTCGTGTGTTTGCATCTGAACCACAATCAGCATCGCATACACAACCACGATGTGAGAAAAAATCGTTACGTGCCAAAGAACACCCACATCGCGAAAAAGGAAAGCTGCGTTTTTTGGCCCCCGAAGGTTTTTCTGCCTCTGCCTTGCGTGAATGTTGCGGAAAGCTGCGGTAAAACAACGCACGCAAATCGCAACATTCTGAACACCGGAAACGCGCGCGTACATCAGACACAAAAAACTGACATTACAGTTTCCTTGTCGCAAAGCTATCGAATTCCCGGAGCGCACACCTACACCCCGAGTCGCGAACGTGTGCACAAATTTCCCGATGAAATTCCCGCGTTATGGTGACCGCGGTGCGTCCATTGTGTCAACTTATAACATCGGACCGTAAACGAAGTTCACGCGTACCGTCAAATGTCTCACAAGGTTCCCCAACTCATCCATTTTCATTAAAATCCTCCAACCACTATTACAACAGCAATACAACCCCAACCCCGTCATCCACAGGCGTACGGTACCGCACACACACAACGCCAACTACGCACACCACGCACAACGCACACACCGCACAACTTCAACCAACTGCATCACTCGTCGTCCTCGTCCTTGCGCTCCGAAGGGCCTGCCATGTCCTCCGTGCGCAGCCCCGCTCGCGCACGCTTAACTGGCGTCCTGCCGAGGCGGGAAATCACCTCCTGGTTAGATGCGCCGACCTCTGCTGGCACGAGGGCCGGGGGAATGCCGAGCTCATCGGCACGCTCCACGTACGCGTTTGTGACGTTGCGAATGACGCGCCGCCTGCTGCGCTCGTCCCGCAGCAGCGGGCCGTCTGGCAGGCTCATCTCGCCCGACGAGTCATCCGACGCGCTTGCAGCAGGTGTGGCAACGAACCCCTGCTCCACGCAGAGCCCCGCGTCGCAGTTGACGAACTCCGCCACCGTCATGTAGCACGCAGGCCTCATCTTAAACTTCTCGATGAGCAACTGCAGCTCGACGCAAGTCGCAATGAGCGGCTCAAACATGCCCGTCGCGCTGGTGTCGTTCAGGTACGCCATCAGCGGCGGCCAGCTCGGCGGCACGCATCCGGCGCGCCACCAGCTCCTCTGCATGGTTGCAGCGCGCACACGGGTCCACGATTCCCCCAGCCACTCCAGCATGAGTCCGTAGTCCACGTCGGCGATAGAAGCGGCATAGTCGAACTAGAACCGCTTCGCCGCGATCGCCCGCTTCATCAGCATAACGCGGTAATGGGCCTTCAGCGCGTCCTCCACTCCCTGCAGGTGCGGAAGGCCCCCTTCGGGAACCGACCCACGTATGTTGACGACACGGGTGTTGGTGAGGTGCTGCACACTGAAGCCGTGCTCCGAGACGGGGCGCGCGACCTCGTCGGTGATGCGATGCGCCTCGTGTATGGTTAGGATGAGTGTGTTGCGATCACGACTAAAGTGCACACCGTTGACAGTCTCCACAAACTCCGTGAACACCTGCGAGCATAGCATCATACACCGACAGCACAACACCATCAGTGTGTCGGCCCACACATGTACGTTGCAAACATGACACAGACATGGTGCACAGCGAGGTGTAATTGTCACCTACCTCCGGAGTCAACCGGCCGCGGTGCGTATATCGGACTGCCACCATGCGCGATGCCGCGCGCCCCCGCCTGCGCTCGGGCCTATCGTACGGCGATAGGACCACCAGTGGCACCGCGGAACAACTGCCCGTCGCGTTGTAAAGAATGCCGATGCTGACAATCCGCTCGCAAACATTACGCTTGTCTGGAATGTATGTCTTCGGGAGGCGGCTCGGAAGAAAATTAATCTCGTGGAAGCAGAACACATCGTCCGGGTGCGCAGTAGCCAGCAGTCCCTTCAGGTCACCCATTGAAGCTGTGTGTCACCCAGGTGGGCAAGTATGCGTTGGGGGATGGCACCCAGTCTTGCTATATACGTTGTAGTTCACTGGAACGTACCCCGGTTTGCCCTCGTACGCACACTACGTACGAGGGTTGACAAGCGCCACACAAGTTTGCGAGCACAACTCCTGCGCCGCTCCAAGATAACGGACACATGTGAAACGGCCACCTGTGACATTCAGATAGGCCACCTCGCGAATCGAAGCCACGTACGCGTCACCCGTATCCGACCAACCAACGGCGGGTGTTCGGTCGGTCACACCACCACACATTGAAGCGCGTCAACTTCGACCGCACAAGCGTCAACCGTACCAAGACCCGTTATAGGCCGGGTTTACTGACCGCTACCACTATAATCTCACTGTTTAAACACCAACATATACGTTTCGGGTTTAGGGTTGCCACCGCGTACCCATGCACAAAATGCCAATGTACACCCACGGACACCATATCACATTTATTCATCACAATATGTGGCGACACATCAGCGTCAACACTAACCTGAACCACCCAAAGTATAAACATCCCACCACAGTTGACTACACTCCCTGCAATCCTGTACCCATCATTCCTAAGTTCCACCATACCAACACGTGCCGTCACTCACATAGCAAAAACCTGTTAACTAATTGCACCTTGTTGTTGCTGTACGACGGGCACACGTGCACAACTCTCTGCAGGCTGCCCAGCTCCACCACCGAATACCTCACCTTCTCCACTTTCTTGTGCAGCTGCGTGCACCCTGTAAGCTTGCAGCTTCCCGCCCTCTCGTAGTACCTCACGTATGCGTATCCCTTCCACTCCCCATCACGGTCAAGCGCCCTGAAGATGCACAGACATCTTGCATACCAGTCCCCCTTCTTGTTGTTCAGAAGTGCCACGTTCGAGTACCACCTCTCTTGTGGAGATGCCTTCACAAACGTCCCTTTGGCCACCAGCTCGCCGCCTCTTGTGCGCGGAATGGCCACCGCGGTGTGGACCTGTCACGCGGTTGTGTACAATCCAACATCTCTTAGCATCATGAGTGCAGTGGCAACCAACGTGCAAGCCCCAGGTGCGAGATGTATGTGCGACAGCATTATCACCACACCTGCACGTTGTTGGTAGCCAGGTCCAACGCCTTAAACTCCGCGGCCATCCCCTTCATCTCGTCTCCAAGCGCGGCTGTGTACTCATCGTACACCGGATCCGACGCCCCGCCTATGCGCATGATCCGATACTTCTTTGTAAGCACCGGTTTCCTCGTCTTGATTGCCTGCACGTGTACAACCACGTTCCCACAACAAGCCGCAACCTGCCTCAGGCTCCGCTCGTACATGGGCACCCGTGCAACATTACACAATGAATGGCCATCGTAGCACCAACCACTCCCCTACGCACCTCGCGCAATGCAGACGCATACTGCCGCCCACCGCCGGCGTCTGCAGCCACCTCACGGTACACCTCTCTCTGCACCTCCTCCTCCACGATTCGGCGCGGAATGTCGCTCCAGTTGCTCCCTCTAACTGGACCCTTGACCGTGCCCTTGTGCGTGCGCTCCCACATCTCAGTGGAATAATGGTGCGGCATCCCGCGCTCCACCACGTTGTCCAGTAAATGTCTTATCATGTGTATCTTTGGTAGTCTCCAGTGGGATGCCTGCTTTGGAAATGCTCTCGGGAGCAACGCCACCAACCTGCCACATCGTCCACGATGGCAGGCAACAGTCAATGCACACTCGTGTGCCACCCGACGGCCGCCACAACAAACCCACCGCAATTCCGACCAGCGATGCACCTAATGCACACACTTACGCTATCGCATGCTGCCGTGCAATCGCAATGGTGGTATGTGTGTGCCGGTCCACAGCCAGAAACGCCTTGTAAAACACAGCAAACAGCCTGAACGCTTTGACCTGCAACGCGCGCAGCTCTCCCGGTTCATCACCCTTCAACGCGCTCTCGTCAGCCACCAAGATCGGCATTATCTGCATCATGCTCCTGTGCTCGAACGCAGCGTAGTTTGCGCCGGAACTGAAGAACGATGAGCCCCCTGGGATTCGGAGGAGCACGCTAGGCGTGATGGCCTTAAACTCCTTCTTGCGTCTGCGCACACCAAGTATTCGACGTGCCCATCAGCGCTGCACACATGGTGTACTACAACCCAAATGACCCCACCAGGATATGACATGCAGGCTACAGTCTGCTCACCGTTCAAGCGTCCGCATCTCAACCTTCCCAAGCGGTTCGATGTAGGTGTCCATCATGTGGATCAGCACACCGGAGTCCAGAACATGCAGTGTGTCTGCAAGGCATGCCAGATACACGTTGCCCCACTCTGTGTCCGCGAAATTCCACCTGTGAAGTACGCACTGCAATGTCCAACCAAAGACACGACCGCGTCATTAGGTTCCACCGTACACTACAGGCACGCAAACGCCCTCAGGGTTTAGCCCACCTCGATCGGATGTGTTGACCATAGCCTCCGCACGGCGTCAGCGTCGCCCTTCTTCTTACACGCCAGGATCTGGCGGACAATGTCCCTCTGCATCTCGGGGGTACGCGGATCGGCCTTCCCCACCATCATGGTCAACTCCCCCTTGTCTGCATAGCAGTTAGCGCACGGCCGGTGCGTCCCCTGCTGAAGAGTCGCAGAAGCTCTGCTGGACTCCGGAAAGTCGGCAGGGTATCCGTAAAGGCAAGGGACCGCTTTGTGCACCTTCCCGTCCGCGTCCGTGCAGTAGAAGAAGCGAACTGGCCCGCTGCACATTGTGACTATGCACACGTGGCCGTGAGTTAGGTTAGGAACGTACACACAATACGCGGTCATAACACGGGGCAATATCTGCTGGGGTCCCCACTGGCCTGCTGCTCGTGTAGCATATGCACCTCAGTACCTTGCAGATTCTCGCATGATGGGCGCGAGGATGATCTTCAATGCCTCCTGGAAAACCCGCGTCTTCTCCGTGGGCGATGCCCATTCGGGTGGGAATGGCAGCACCGCCGCCAACGTGTGCCCAGGCTCCACCCCACGTAATTCCGCTGGTATGTTGATAAGCGAGATCAGCACCGGCCACGCGTTCCTCCGACCATTCCGTGATGCCTGGGTGCTATCACTGTATATCAGCACGCCTAGTATGAGTGCCTCACTGTCATTAATCTCCTTCTGCCATGCCAACCATACATGCCCTTGCACAAATGTTAGACTCCGTCTTATAGCATTCTGGGACTCACATGTAATGTGGACTGGCCTACCGATGCACTTACCTGAGCAGCGTGCATCCAATCGCCCGTCTCCGGCCCCTCGAATACCCTCTCGCCATTCTTCTTCCGATGAATCTTCTTAGGTTTCCACACGAACCCTTTCTTGGATGAGAACGTCCGCACCAGCTTCTTCAGAATCTGCGCGCATCGGGATATAATCAGGAGTGAGCGGCAAGATTCCTTCCCAGTGACGACGACGGGGGATGCGGGTGTGGCCGCCGTTTACGAACCAGCTCTGTGTCGCGGTAGTGCAGTAGCAGCTTCATTTGCATTCCTTTGGGGCCCCGCACCACTATCTCCTCCGTTTTCCACGGGACCATGTCTGCTGGAGCGCGCGCCATTCCCCATCGGCGCACGTCCACCCAGTTGCGCCATCGTCGGAGTGTCAGAGGTCCACTGGTGATCCCCGATCGATCCTAGGGAAGGGTTACAGGCACGTTTGCCTGGGGGGTTATGGGCGCACTGACCCGCTACTGAAACAAGCCCTTTTATCCCAATGGTCTAGTGGTTGGGATTCTGAGATGGTATCAGAGCGAAGGTCTCGGGTTCGAATCCCGGTGTATGCACTTCGGGCATCCCAGTGCGGGGGGGTGTCAGAGGTCCACTGGTGATCCCCGATCGATCCTAGGGAAGGGTTACAGGCACGTTTGCCTGGGGGGTTATGGGCGCACTGACCCGCTACTGAAACAAGCCCTTTTATCCCAATGGTCTAGTGGTTGGGATTCTGAGACGGAGGGCCCGTAAGTTGAAGCGCGGGTTGCGGAAAATGTGTAACAGACGGTTAACTTCCCGGTGCGAAAGATCGGCGTCACGGAAGAATAGATACAACTCGGTCAGTGTGTCGAAAATCTCCGCCCTCTCGCTGTGTTCCGATGACTCCGCATTCTCGCCGTCAGCTGGTGTATCCGCGACGCTAACCAGGCTAACTTCGGGAATAGAGGCGGTCGGAGCAACCGATACAACACTGCCGTCATTATCCTTAAGCCGCGATGCGGGCGGTGTGTTTGGTCTACTCTCTCCGTCACGGGCAATTGCTTCCAAATATGCCGCCAACAAAAGACTCTCCCGTTTCCTCTTCAACTCTGCGCGACAAATTGCACCGTTAGCGACATGTGACTGTAACCGGCTGTCGTCCTTAAACACCGTCTCGCACACCATGCAACTGTTCCCCGTCATCCTGCAACCTTGAAACCCTAGAGACCGTGGCGATAGAAACTCGGACTGGCCACAGGTGTGCTCTAACACAACTCAGAGGATCAACATGGTGCACACTCATGTGCACAGAACCTTGAAAAGTGTGCACATACCATCTGTTCGATTGTCACCGGTAAACATTATACACCCAACCATAATGCACAACCATATTATAATTGCAGAATGTGTAACGGTGGTCCGGTAAATAACACTCCCCGTTTTTGACCCGGAATTATCAGCGCGGTCATTAGTACGACCAGAAATAGAAATAGCCAATAACTGACGTTGTGGGATTGTACACAGCTGGCTCCATAAGACGTTGTGTATTGTTTTTGCACGTAATATACCCGTTATGCATATTGCAATATTGTTTACGACAACCTACAAATTTTACTTCCGCTTTTAAGAGTACACGACTACATCGTGTACAACCCATACTTAGTGCGCGCTGGTGGCCCAACAACCCAAGTGCTGACGTCCGCGTACGCCGTTATCGGATTCCGCGTCACTTGGATTGTACAAGGAAAACCAAATGGTGTTCCATGCACCAGAATTGCTGACCCACCCTAAATCTCGCATCCTCGTGTTCCGAACCCCTTGGTTTACAACACGTGGATATGCATGCTGCCTCACCATCACATCCAGTCTCGTTATCGAGTCACAGGTGGACATCGCATGCGCATCTCATCCAACGGTGTATACCATTTCGCCTATGCATGCCCAACACCCACCAGGTTATAGGCGACATCTTGGCCCACCCGTCAATCAGAGTAGTTCCCTCCAGGCGAGATCCGTGAGTGGCTGTGTTCTCCCAGTCATCCCCTCCGTGCTCACCTCGTATTAAGGCCGGCCTCCTCCGCATGGTATTCAGTGTCCGTTCTTGATGGCGATTCCTAAACAGTCTGTCTCTAAGCGCAACCGGTTCCATGAACCGGAGACTAGCAGCAGCGGCGATGACCAAGATCCTGACCCGTCTGTTCCCAGAACCAGAGCGTCGACCAAGGGCGACAAAAAATCACCTCCGTGTCCGCCGACAAAGGACGGCGGAAGGGCTTCTAGGTTCGCGACCCATGTCGTGGAAAAGGCGACAGAGCCGGTGCCGGACGATGTGGTGGCCGCTATCGCCCGGAACTATGCGAAATCATCTTACTGCAACATCAGGCTCATGAATCACCGCGGTGTCGGATGTGAGGTGGACAAGGACGACTTCATGTCGATCGAGGACGAACAGTGGATCACCGATGGCGTGGTGGACTTTCACAACGTGTAAGTACCGTGCTGACCGCCCCGCACATGCGCGCGCTTTTGTACGATTTTCTGCGCATCTCACTGTAGGACGGTGTGTTAACTTGTTCGTGTTCACCTCTGCGCAGGCTGCTTAGCATCAGGAAGCCGTCGCTCCGCGACGGCAAGACATGGGCCGCCATGGACTGCAAGGCCTATTCACAGACGACAGCTGCGCATGGAGTGCCGTTAACGCTGGGGAGTGGGCGGCCGCTTTTGGAACACGATTATCTTGCGATCCCGGTCCTAGAGTCGTGAGTGTACTCATCTTACCAGTGTTCCCGGTTGGTTTCCGTGATGTGCAACCGACTGCTGTTTAACACCGATCCCGTTTCACCCCAATCTTCTTGCGCGCAGTGAGCACTATTCCCTCGTCATCGCTATAAACCCATCGGTGCTCACCAAGACGCAGAGAACCAAGGGCAAGGAGCGCCTGACTTTGGTCTTGCTGGACAGCGCGATCAAGAATCGAAATAGCCACAAGATTTTCGCAGGCACGAAGCTGTGAGTAGGGGTTTCGGCATAACGAAGCGCATAGCATATACGTCCATGCTCAATTTTGTTAATACCGGACGAACTCTTGTATGCAGGTTGCTGTCCGAACTCGCGAAGGCGAGTAACCCAAACGCTAACATAAAGGTTGTGGACAGGACGCTGAGCGCGGCGGACTGCGTAATTCTACGGGTGAGTACGCCTCGTTCGTTCTGTACACAGCTGTGCTGGTTGCATACACAGGTGTGCATACTGATAACTTCGGTATTCGTTACCCTTATGACAGGAGGATAAGCTGCCACAGCAGCCGAACAAGGAGGACTGTGGGATTTTTGTTTGTCAGTACCTCAAGACCCTGGTGCATACCGACTTCGCCACGGTGTTTTCGGGCCTCTG